CACATATTTATGTATAGTACTCTCACTGAGGCACATTACAGTTTAGGTCCTACCAAATTAATTAATTAATTAAAGTGATGTCACGTTAATTAAATGATGTCACTTCCACAATAATAACAATTATTATTATTTTGTCAATCTTGCTAATGTATTGTTGCTATGTATTTTTAAATTGTTTAATAAAACAAAATTAAAAGATGAATTACAAGACTCTTTATTCCACTTTGACATATGATGAAGATGTTACAACAAGTTGGCTTAGGAGCAAGCATCTAATAGCAAACTACATGGATTGCAAGAAATGTGGATCATCTTGCAGATTAGTCACAAAGAAGGATACAAAAGTATGGAGATGTCCTTTAAAAGGCTGCCAATCAGTTATATCAATAAGGAATGAATCTTTTTTTTCTGGAAGTCATCTGAAGTTAAATGAAATTGTTGATCTGATTTACTGGTGGTCATGCAAGAGCACAGTTCATGCAACAATGCATGAAACGGGTCATTCTGAGCACACCATTGTTGATTGGTTTAACTTTCTTAGAGATATTTGTGCAGATTACTTTTTGAGTAATCCTACAGTCATAGGTGGACCAGGATCAGTAATTGAAATTGACAAATCAAAATTCGGTAAAAGAAAGTACAACAGAGGGAGATATGTCGATGGCCATTGGGTATTTGGTGGTATTGAACGGGGAACTAGTAATTGCTTTATGGTAGCAGTAGCAGATAGATCAGCAGCAACATTACTACCAATTATTTATAAGTATGTAAGGCCAGGCTCTACAATCATTAGTGATCAATGGCGTGCATATTCTTCACTTTCATCTGTAAGTAGTGGATTCACACATTTAACTGTTAACCATTCACTTAATTTTATCGATCCTTTCTCCGGAGCTCATACACAAACAATAGAAGGTACATGGTCACAAGTGAAGCGAATGATGAGAGGTATAGGAGTTATGAACACCTCCAATGATTTATTTCAAACTTACTTGCAAGAGTTTCTATGGAGGAAGAAGTTCTCTGGACAGGATCCTTTTAACACAATAATAGAACATATCAAAGAACAATATCCTCTTTAAATAAATATTATTTAATTATTATAATATAAAAAAAAACTAAACCCTAAACCCTAAATTTAAATAGACCTAAAAAATAATATACAGTGATGTCATATCAGATAAACAGGAAGTGATGTCATTAATTAATATTAATTTTAATTTATATTAATTTGGTAGGACCTAAACTGCAATGGAACCCTCTCACTGTTAGCTGTATCAGTTGCATATTGACAAAAATTATTTTAGGTCACACATACTACATGTGTGTACCAAGATTTTAGAAATGAAAGTTATTAATAGTTGAACAAAGCTTTTGTGAACCACTTCCATACTGCTTACTGTACATTACATTTA